ACCTTGATTAGCTTGCAATGGAAGACCTTGATTAGCTTGAATGGAAACTCACACATAAGCAATATAACTGTTTCTTTTTAAGGTTATGGCACGATGATGCCGCCATCATTACTACCTCTCCAGTGTTTAGAAGTTCCTGGATACATGATTCCTCAAACTCAACTGCACATGATGGACTACAGACGTATGACTCCCCATGTGGCTCCAACTATTGCTCATCAGACCCGCCACTCACATTTTCAAAACGGTGTGCCCCCTGGTCGTGTGATGGTCAGCTCTGAGGTGCAAACTGAACCCCTTTGTCGTAGCATAGACTCACATGAACGTGCAATATCCCACAATTGTTCTGAATCAGGTAGGGGTACTGACAGTCCAGTGTCAACATCACCCAGCACCTTGGATAACAAATCAGTAACTTGCCCTGAAGGTACATCCATGCTAACTCAAAATTACAATGCCACTAATGCGATCAGCACTACTGATTTGTCTGCTGTTCCCAAGAGTGAAATCCTTCAAGCTGAACATATGCAAATTAAATGCGACGCAATGCTTTCTGGGCGTAAGAATTTTCAGAACAAGGATAACATGGAGCTAGCTAGTCATAATGAAACTGACCTTTTGCAGTGCAGCTTGGGTTCTGTACAATCTTCAGGGGATGTTGTCTTGTGCGCTTACCAGTCATTAGCATTTAGGAAGGATGAACAGCGGGTTGAAGCTGAGATGTTAAGGTACTCAAAGCATCGTCTCCCTGCTTGTACAGAAGTTACTGTGTTGAGAACTTCTCCATCTTGTAGAACTTTGAAAGCTTATCCTAAACCAATCAGATCTGTCATTAACCAAGGCATCAAAGCAAAGAAAAACTCAGACATGCCTTTTCAGGCAAAGAGCAGAGAAGATGGCAACACCTCCAATAACATTGACTTTAAGATTCTGCGGCTGCCATTTGACATGGAGAACCATAACCAGCCTTGTCAGCTGGAGGCTTCTATCTGGTCAGTAGAGTCTCTGATACCTTATGTACCTTCCACTGAGTGGATGACCGATAATGGTCTTCTAACTCCTCCGAAACCGTTGAGCCCACTGAATGAGCACAGTGATGTTATCGCAAAGCCAAATTATGTTCCTGAAGGGAAGAATCTACAACCTGGTGCATCAGTTAAATATCATGGTCGTCCATGTCAGCTAGAGGCCTCTATCTGGTCAGTAGAATCTTTGATGCCTTATGTGCCTTCCAGTGAGTGGATGGTTGAGAATGGGTGTTTAACTCCTCAGAAGCCGCTGAGCCCACAGATTAAATCTAGTGATCTTCTGTCTAAGCAGAATCAGTCTTCCACTGGTATTCCAGCAGAGAAGAATCTACAAACTGGTGCATCAACTAAACATGAGTCCTTTAACTCCCTTGTGTCCCGCTCCCCATACCGTCCCTCAACAAGCTGGCTGGCTGACTTTGGTAATGTATACTACTACAGTAAGTTACCTGTTGTACAGCAACATCCTGACCTTCCAGAGAAGCAGCAACCAAAGATGTCCCTTGCCATTAGTCTTGAACCACCTCCTCTCAGAAATGGGAAAAACACAAAGAACCAAAGTCCAGCAATTGGCATCTCAGATCAGAAGCACTGTTCACTTCATACTTGCAAGTGCAAAGCAAAACGCAGTCTGAGGTTAGCTGGATCTTCTGTGACGTGTGATTGGGTTTCTCATTCCACACTGCAGAATAAACTTCGCTTCTGCACATCATGTAGATATGTGAAAGGAAAGGATCATAGAAAGCCGCCTTTTTCAGATGGTTTTAGCTGTAAAAGAGAAGAGACTACTGACTTGAATAACTTTTACATGAAGAGGGCTACTGAGGGGTTCCATGGTACCCCAAAGATGACTTCAGGAAGTCATTTGTCAAAATGCTGTGCTGCTTCTCTGGCTAAACCAAGTGAAAAGACTGGACTGTGTGAAGATTGCCAATGCCTTAATCCCAGCCCTGCTCAAGATAAATGTGGTGACATTGGATGGCGAATTTGGGAAAAGAGTGAGGAAGACTGGATTAACAACCCAAATCAGAGAATGTTACAGACACTGCAGAAAAGTAGGGCTTCCAATATAACATTGCCAAAATTCTCGAAATTGTGTATGTACTCTGTTGTTACATGTATCTTCTTCTGGTAGACAATCCATGGAAAGCAAGTATGCAGGGGTCTAAAACTGAAAGAAGGATTCAGAAAAAAGAAAGGAAAGCGTACTCACAAGGTAAGATAATACATTTTCTCAAAAGAATGCTTCATATTAGGCCAATTGTGATGCCTGATCATTGACAAATGAACTTTACAGGGATACAGCAAAAATAAATGAACCGTACTTGCATGTTATATTCTTAGCAAAACCTATTTACCTTGTATCTCTTCAGAGATCACACAAGAGGAAGACACAATGTTTATTGCTACCGGTGGTCAGTGTGCACACCCCATGGAGAGCTAGAAGGTGCATTAATATCACAAACGTTCAAACCTTCCTACAATCAAATATACACCTGTATGGTTTTTAAGCAGTGATTTAATAAAGTACTTATGAGTGTGAACATGATGTTTGCTTCATCACCGAAGCCTCAGAAGGTCCATTTGAAGTTCTCAATTATATTTTTAATAAATACTGCAAACAACTATGCATTTAAGACCGTGTGACGCAAACTGCTTGAGCACATTAGATTCGCCTAATGATATGATAAGAGTGTTGTATCTTTTGCTTTGAGATCTAAATAAGTAAATTTTTGATTTCTAAACATTTATTTTTCAAATTGCACAACAAAAGGCTAGATCCACATAGAGATCTGTGGCTGGTTGCATTAAAAGGCTTCAACTAGTCTTGGAAGTCATCCAATTTGTTTCAAGACTGGTCATAATGTTAAGTCAGTTACATAAAAAAAATT